TAGTCAGAGTATGGAATAGTCTTCCTGATAACGTAGTGCAAGCTGAATCCTTGGGTTCCTTTAAATCAGAGCTAGATAACATTTTAACAACTCTGAGCTATTAGTTAAGTTCTCCCCAAGCGAGCTCGATGGGCCGAATGGCCTCCTCTTGTTTGTATGGTTCTTATGTTCTTATGTGTTGCAGAAATTTCTTTTCCTGAAAATGCACGTTTTCTGGCAGCCCGTTTAGTATCGCACATGTTTACTAAGCACGTGAACTTGGTGAGAAAAACTGGGTTATTTGCGGAACCGAGTCGCTCCCCAGGGAATGATCTGACAGCAAGGGCTTGTGGGAATTTTAGTTTTCTTGTACTCATCTAATGAGATAGGACAACTTATCTGTGTCAGCTCCTCCGAGTCCCTCCGAAAGGGATAAAAGTATTTCCCCTTGACATAATTTAAAATATAAGCCTTTGAAATGGGTAATGGTGTCATAATTGCGAGGGGAAGCGTTACCGTCATGTGACCTGTTATTAGCAGAGATAATGATGTGAGACCCCCGAACCTCGTACACAGCAGCGTACGGAATCCAGGCTAATCTATTCCTCCACGTTTTTTATGCCGGAGGTAAACTACATTTACAATAAGTGAAACTCTTTCGATAGCACAGTCAAATTAACTGAATTTGCACCATTATAATCAAGTAATAAAATTAGCTGTTGTGAAACGTAAGTTGTCCCATGACTGATTTTTCATGCAGGGACAAGGTAAGCCTAGCGCCCAACCCAGGAAGAGCAGGGCATAAGGCTGGCCGGGATGCCGGTGCACCTAAGGGCTCACACACACATTGGGCACAGCCTGTCCGGGATACCAGTGCACTGCAGGGCACACGTACACACACGCACTCTGGGCACAGCCTGGCCGGGATGCCAGTGCACTGCAGGGCTCACACACACACACACATTAGGCACAGCCTGTCCGGGATACCAGTGCACTGCAGGGCACACGCACACACATGCACTCTGGGCACAGCCTGGCTGGGATGCCAGTGCACTGCAGGGCTCACACACACACTGGGCACAGCCTGTCCAGGATGCCAGTGCACTGCAGGGCACACACACACACGCACTCTGGGCACAGCCTGGCCGGGATGCCAGTGCACTGCAGGGTACACACACACACACACTCTGGGCACAGCCTGTCCGGGATGCTCCTGCTCGTGTTCTGCTCCCTGACGGTTTTCCCCGATGAGCTCATCACCGTCATGCTGGCCAGTGGCTGAGGTTCATTCCACTACAGTATTTTACCACTAATCCAAATTTAAATGATTTCCCAAGGCGTCACATCAGCACTGCTCCTTACAAAATACATTAAAAATTAAGCATAAATAGGTGAAAAACCAGTAGGTAGAAATTCCTCAAGGGGAAACCCTTTAGTGTCATATTTTCAAAGAGTTATAAAGCTTCCAGTTTTTCACATGACTTAAAAGTCAGCTCAGTAGGAATGATAGGAGAGTAAAATCAGGCCCCATAGCTGGATCTACCGGAAGTCTGTGGATGGATGGCAGGCAGGCAAAACAGGGGCAGCTTTTAATGTTTAAAGACCAGGATTCTGGAGAAGAATGAATGCTGCCTGAAGAATTTACATTAGAAAGCGGAGTTAAAAATGGACACGATCAGCTGTGTTTCACACCTTGAGTAAGATAAGAAAGCATGGTGACCTACATCCGCTATTAGGCTGTAAATACCATCAGTACAAAAGTACAGTAAATCCACTGGCTGTGTAGCCTGTGCCACGGAGGCTAAGCCTGTACCCTTAGGAAGGAAGAAAGACGCATATCTCAGTTTAAATGCAGGGAAGTACCATCGGGATTTGATTAATTCAACCAGTGTTACTACTGCAATAAGTACATAAAAATTATAAAGAATTTAGATAGTACAGACACTTCCTAGGTTACCATGGTCTGTGTTAGATATTTCGACATAACGATGGGTATTCCAATTACATTCTGTTTTTAATTTTCAGTACATTATTAAATAAATTACATGATATTCAATACTTTATTATAAAAATAGGCTTTATGTAAATGTTTTTGCCCAACTGTAGGCTAATGTAAGTGTTCTAAGCATGTTTTATGTAGTCTATGATGTTTATTAGGTTAGGTGTACTGTATTAAAATGCATTTTCGCCTTACGATATTTTCACCTTGCCATAGGTTTATCGGAATGTAACCCCAGTGTAACCTGGATAAAGGCTGTAATGTGAGAACTAATTGTGACCTCTGTCCAAAGATACATTATCACTGCAGGTCAGGAAGAGAGAGAGAGAGAGAGAAAGAGAGAGAGAGAGAGAGAGAGAATTAGGAAATTGGAAACTCTTTGCTTGGGGCGATGATGGCTTTCACTCCCAGTCTTCAAAGGATTCAAAAAGTTTTCGAATTCCTTTTAATCTCTTTTGTAGCACACTAACCCATAAGCCTAATGTTTAAGGTTTTCTATCTTAACATACATTCTTACTACCTCTGTTTAACAACATTAATTCTCTTTCTTGTAAAACCTCTTCTGATTGTAAATGTGACAATCAGGAATTTATGCTGTAGTCAAAGCTGTGACATTCAGATGATAGAAATAGTGTGTGAATTTTACTCTCTGTAGACTTTCCCTTACAAGTTGGAACAAAAAAAAATGCTTCCTGGAGGTGTCAGAGGGCCTTTTTTAAGCTGTGCAGCTATTTTTTCACTCAGACTTTTTTTTTCCCTCCCTCGCGCAGTACCTGCATGAGAACGGAGTGGTGCACCGGGACTTGAAGCCAGAGAACCTCCTATATGCTACTTCAGCTCCAGATGCTCCTCTCAAAATCGGTGGGTCCTGCACAGTTTGAAGGGGAACAGTGAAGGAACAGGCCGTCATCTCTGTGGATGCCTGGCATGACTTCATTTGAAGATCATCGTCTTCATTGGTCATTTATATAGCCAGATGCAGTCATTTGTGTAGCCAGACATTAATTAAATCACATTTTATCCTTTGTAAACCTATAATGACCATGACCCAGGTGGAGAGGATGGATTGATTGATGGATGGATGGATGGATGGATGGATAGATAGATAGATACTGTAGATAGATAGATAGATAGATAGATAGATAGATAGATAGATAGATAGATGTTACATCATAATGGATTTGAATGTTACTAATAATAATTTTTTTCCTAGCTGATTTTGGTCTTTCAAAAATCGTGGATGACCAGGTCACTATGAAGACAGTATGTGGGACTCCAGGATATTGCGGTCAGTTGATGTTTCCAGTATTTCACCATGATGAATGTTTCATTCTACTATATTATGTTGGTACTGTTGCATGCAATTTGTAGTAACAAATTCCAAGTTTTGTGCCAATGATTATGCCAAATGACCATTGATCCCAGTGGGTCAAAGTGGGTGAATTTAGCTCACTGTATTTTTACACTGGGGATATTTACATCATTCCTCCTTGTGCCACTTTCTTTTGGCACCGTTCCGGTGATCTTGGGCAAACAGCTGAACTGTGACAATGCTGACAACTTTATAAATAAACAATCCAAGCCGTCCCCTTGTTCCGCGGGGATATTTACATCCATGGAGTGTTAAACTGGCATCAGAAGGTGACAGAGGGTTTCATCAGATCTCCTTCGTTCTTTACCATGTATGAGATGCAGTGCAGAGAACAGCTTCAGTCACTGCATTTATTTTTATCCAGCTTTGTAAACGGTTCATCTGAATTATGAAAAGTATCGCTAATGCCCTGAAACTTTCCTCAAAACATGCATCATTTGCATATTTCATTAATGATTATAAACATTTTCACATTTTTTAGATTATTCGCTTATTGCATAAATTGCATAAGGGGGGGTCATTCACACATCACAAAAACTAAACAGCGCTTTTCCAATATCTGTTTAATTCTCACATATTATGTCTCCATATGACCCCCTACTGTAAAGACGCCGATTTGGAACATCTCCTGTATGCTGTGGGATTTGCTTATGATAACTGACCTTCCTGAAAGTTGCCGATTTTGCAACTATAGTCTTGACCATTGAAATTGCCAGCTGTTACTCTTCTGAAGGAAAGACAAAGGCATTAAGCATATTTCCATTGAGTGCAGACATGGAAAGTACATGTAGTGACGTTGATGCCGCTCATCTGAAGCACATGTCATATGAGGAAGCCAACTACCACAAATAATCAGAAATTGCACCAGAAGGAGCCCTCACAAATTTTCCAGTCAATGCTCACAACCGTACAGGGCTTACATCTATAATAAGTGTACACTATTGTGAAAATTGTATATACATATTCACATGGAAATTAATGCATAAAGTTTAGCATTTTAGTCATAAAATTTTCCACTCATTAAAGCACATCAGGTAGGGCTTTGTTATAAATGTATGGTTTTTCATACCAAACATACAACTTCTCTTGAACCATAACCCTTCAAATTCAGTCCTGTTGATGCCCAACACCAGAACACTGTAACACCATGGTTCATTTGTTGTCATTCACTGTCCGAGCAGCAAAGTTGGTTTTACTTGCAGAGACATTCGCGGCTATATGGCTCATAGCCTGTGCCTTGCCGAACCTAAGCAGTCCGGAAGATGACTCACGTTTCGATGGTTTCCTGGGGCCACTCGCAGGCAGATAACATGGCTTTGAGTCTCCGAGTCACGCGAAGGCCGGCTCGGCTCTAGCTGAGTGCTGTTAATCGATCCATCTGCATGTTGAATCAGCGCAGTGGCATCCCAGCTTAGATCCCGTGACAACCTGTGCTGCTGGGTACCGTAAAGCCAGCATAAACGCACATCTTGTCTGTGCATGACCAGCAAATAAGGATTTTAATTAAGGAGTGGAATGTATCTAAGGGACCTGGGTCCCTGCAGAAACGCTGACCGCTCTATTAAAGTGTGATGGATAGACCCTGTCACTCCATGCTATGCAATAAAGCAGCTTTGTATTACAGGCACGTCTGAGAAAAGGCAAATGCCCAAACTGTGATTGCTGGATCATGTTAATGTATGCAGAACAGCAGGCTACTAACCTACTTATCCATGCTGATATTAATGACCTCTGTATATGCAGATAATTTGCATATAAGATCGATAGATAGATCACAATTAGATCACATTTAGACAGGAAAAAAGTACATTTCGACAGTAATAAACAGTAACAATAAATAAATAATATAATTGCATGTATATATAAAATTACAAGCATACATGTACAGTTTATGCATATTACATGTATATGTATATGACCATATAAGCCTGGTATATGCTCTGTCTCCCTCAGCTCCTGAAATCCTTCGGGGTTGCGCCTACGGACCTGAGGTGGACATGTGGTCAGTGGGAGTCATTACGTACATCTTGTAAGTTGGACCTGTTGTAAATATTGGAAAATGCTTGATTGCATTACAGAAAAAAACAAGAATTCCACCAAGGTATTTCAGTATACCATTTTACTAAAGCCTACTTAAAACAACAACAACAAATTAATTTTTGTATAGCGCATTATCACAACATTACATTGTCCCACAGCATGTTTTGACACATTTAGGGGGGAATGCAGAGTTTTTCTCATTTTTAAAGGCTGACACAAAGTCTACGTTATAACGTTATAAAAATTGTGAAAGCGTAGCATAGCTACTTAAGAGTAATTTAATGATGTGTTTCAGCTTTTATGTCATTTATAATATTATAGTAATCACCTTCGTGTTCTATAACCGGGGATTACAAATTTAATTCAGGAGCCAAAGCTAGAGGACCCCTCCCAATAATGCATCATCACATGAGTACCTAAGTTCCATTAATATTTTTTTATCTTGGGGGGGCACCACTGAATGCTTTTTACTTTTACGGGTTGTGTAAGGTACCTGTTAATAATGACATTTAGATAATTTACTGAACATCTCTGTGTACCACCTATAAAGGTTCCATAAACCTCAACTTGAAAACCAACATATGCATTAAGTGCGTTTCAAAAAAGTTTCAGAATTATTGAATTTCCCAGGACCTTTGTAATACTGTCATCATAGTAAATTGCTTCTTGATTAAGGTTAAACATAACATAACTCTTAATTGATAAACTATGGTTATATAAATGCTATGGTCCATAGCTAATCATTATGTTTTTTCTTTTTGGGCTTAAGCTAATTACAACAAGGCACCTTACTGTTTTTAATGATTACTAACACATACTAACACCCATAGTTGGCCATTAGTGGCCAACTATGGGTGGCTAAAGAACAAGGAGAAAAATTAGTTTGATAGAGTTAAGAGTGGGTCTAAAAAAAAGAAAGTGTTTCAGTCTGTCTGCCCAGTGTCAAAAATCTGAAACTGAAATAAAGGGGAAATGAATATCAGTCAGCAGAAAAACTGAAAGGCAAAATATCCAACTGTGAAGATGAGGACATATTCTTCAGCATAAAAATGATTGACGACTGCTTGTTTTGACAGATGGTTGCTCATTTTTAAGGAAAAATACCTGACTGGATCCATAAAGAATCTTGTAATGTAACTGATGCCCTTAGCATGATTTTAGATACCCTTGTGTTTTTTATATGGAGAATAAAAATCTTAATTATTCAAAAACTTTGTTTTTTATTTCCTGGGAGAAGCACTTGATCTTGTTTTAATTTGATACATACTAATACCAATTTCTAAATTGTTACCCATGAAACTGTGTAGCATAAACATCTGATTCAGCAATGGACTCTCCAAAGAAATAACAGGGACGTTGTGGGGTTATATAATCAATGGAGGCAAGGAAGAGAAGAAATTGAGATGCATAATAAATCATAAATTTGAATAGAATCCCCGATGAAATGAAACTTCGGTAAGACCCTGCAGAGATTATTCCTTTTTTTCAGAAAAATCCTAATTGCAGTGGAACGTCTGCCTGATCTTTTGTTCCATACTTCAGAGCTCCTTTCCTTGCCTCTTAATATTCCGCTACGGTCTTTGCCTGTGTTCTGTCCACCTCATATTCCTAGGAATTTGCGTCTCTGGGAATCCTGATCATCCTCACCAGAGAGCCACCTTGTTACTGTGAAAACCATTTACAAATCCGAGGGTTAGACAACAATTTCAGTTTAAGAATATATTTTGTCCAACAATTAATATCAAACGCATCAGTATTTCATGACTGTGAATATTTGTTCTTGTTCTGTTAACCTTGTGTTGAAAGGCGGCCCTGAAATTGTCTATGTGAAGCCATAGTCTTGGTGTTAACCCTGCAGAGCAAAGACTGCAGCAGAACAGATGGCACCTGGCAGTAAACTGCCAAGCCTGACAGGAAATCAGAGCTCGGCAAGTCCTGCTCTCGTCAACGGCTGAGAACCCACCTGCTGTTACACACAGATCGAGCTGCTTTCCCTCCTTCTGTATTGACTGTCGTAATTTTTTACAAAACACACCCCCAAATATTCCATTCCTGTGCTTTTCTTCTGACAGATTGTGCGGCTTCGAACCGTTCTTTGACGAACGGGGTGACCAGTACATGTTCAAGAAGATTCTTAACTGCGAATATGAGTTTGTCTCCCCCTGGTGGGATGACGTGTCTCTAAATGCCAAGGACCTGGTGAGTGGTAATCATGTTGATACTGGAATCAGTTCCCTTTCTGTTCTGACAAACTCATAAAAAAAAAAATGAAAAGCTGATTTTAGATACCTCAGCTTTCTTGCCCTTCAATAGCGCATTTAAACTGATGAATTTCACCTTTAAAGTGTCATTTTGGAGCTGACAGGAGGGATGTTAAAGCTTATGATGGCATGATGCCTATATTCGTTGGCTGCCGTTGGCTGTGTTAGATGACATGTGGTCTTTTTGCATATGGCCACTGAAAACGTAAGGCACTTTTCTTAAGCTAGTATTATTGCCTAATATGGTGTATGTTATATATTCAGTTGCGGACTATGCGGCCAATTAAATCTTCTCTAAAAAAATCATATCTAATGCCAATGGACAGCCAGTAATAGACAAGTTTAGTGTAATTCAGTAAGCTTGCATTTAATAATAAATTATTAGCAAATAATTGGAATCAACAATGCAATCTCTTAAATGTAATACATCATTTTAAAACTGATATAAACACCTCTATGAATAGAGCTTACAAAAATGTATTGTTTTTGAAAGCTTTTTTGTAAATAGTCTCACATATATAGACACACACACACGTATATATATAATCCATTCATTTGAAAGTGTAATGTTTATTTAAATTGTTTGTAGAAGTTTGTTGTTGGTTTTGCCTGATAGGGATAAGATCACCTACACACCTACACATATTTGTCTTCGCCTGACAAACAAAACGAAGGGATATTGCATTTAATAACATAGAAATTTTGCATATAATGGAAGAAAGAGATGGCAGTGCTTTGGATAATCCATGTGGCCTGAGCACCTGTCTCTGTCCCTCCCGTAGGTGAAGAAGCTGATCGTCCAGGATCCAAAGAAGCGGCTAAGCACGGTGCAGGCCCTGCAGCACCCCTGGGTGACAGGCAAGGCCGTCAACTCCGCCCACATGGACACAGCGCAGAAGAAACTGCAGGAGTTCAACGCTCGCCGCAAGCTCAAGGTGGGCATCAACACCCGTCCCCCTTTCCGGGCCAGCAGCCGCACGTGCGTGGGCCGGCTTCCATAGGGGACATCCGGTGGCGTGCCTGAAATCTGCACGGTGCTATGGGCTTATGGAAGCAGGACAGACGGTGGACATTTTGTGCGTGCGATGCTGCCATGTTCGCGCATTATTACAGGGCCTGCTGCGAACAGCAGAGCACTGGCCCTCACTGCGCCGTTCCATCCGCCACTCAAACACACGGCTGGAGCAGAACCGCAGACACGGTCCCTCAGAGCAGCCTCTGTGTCTGCCGCCATCCTTACTGCACTTTATGCAGACCAGAAAAGATCTTGCTGTGGATTGGCAGGAGCCAGCAAGCAAAATGAGCAAAGCAGTAAATAATAGAGAATGTGCTTTTTTCACATTCCTCTTTCATCTTTTATTCTCTAAAAATGCTGAATATGGTTTAAATCGGCCTGTTTTGTAGTACATTCCTTGTCAGGTACTCCTGCAGATTGGCTTGTTTTTTTAATCATGATTATTATCCAGGCATAAAAAAAAATTGTAATACAGAACATGCTGAAAAATCTTGTGGGTTCATAATTATAATTGATTGCAATTGTTTTATTTATAAGCAAATAAGGGCAACACTTTCAAATTTCCCTCACCACATTTTAATGTATGCACAGGTAAACACCAAGCAGCTTAATCACGCACCGCTGAGCCATCAGACATACATACACCAAGCTCCCTCTCTGGGTTTGTGTTATTACTGTTGGGCGGAGAACCGGACTGAGCACGGATGGAGAACCATGTTCTGCCACTGTTATGTGATACAGCTGCATGCACCTGACGTCCAGCAGTATGAGTGGATTCTTGTGACGAGATACTGTGTGTTTTTGGCAGGCAGCCGTGAAGGCTGTGGTGGCCTCTTCACGGCTAGGCAGCGCCGGCAGCCACAACAGCACCGACAACAGTAAGATCAGCTGTAACCACTCTCCAGTCCAGGAGGGGGCGCCAGAAAGACAGGCTCAGCAAACCCACCCGCCGAAACAGGGGGACTCCTAGACGTTTGTGTCTTGGGTCTTCCATTGAATCGGAAGACGCCGTCATCTTGTGAGAATAAGAAACAGCTGATTTTAACGGATGAAATGAGACCGTCTCACAGATCGGGGGCAGTGCTGACCTCAGACAATTTTGCATGTGACTGCTTACGATTTTAAACAAAATGAAAAAAAAATGCCGCATGAACGAACCTGCGTGACAGCGTGACTTTACAGTTTCATCTTGAAATGGCCATTTGCGAAGCTGACAGTTCCTTCCACTAAAACACCTTTCCATGAACTACATTGAGGAGCTTCACCTGCTGGACACGGAGAAAACAATGTTTTTGCTGTTTGTAATGGTTGCATTTTAGTAAACTTCATTTGGTTTATAAAATACTGTAAGTTAGGTATGGTACAGCATTCTAGGGTGACCGCCGATTGGGGTGAATAGAGAAGGGGGGTGGTGTCGTTTACAGAATTTATTTAGGGTTATATGCAATACATTCCGTTTAAAATACAGGCATATACAGTACCAACCAATAAATGGCCATAGAATTGTAACTTTACTACATTTTGAAAAAAAGCCTTATCCACTTGTTTATACACTTTGATAGAAACATGTTACATATCATGTTTAATAATAAGGTCAAAATCCATGTGTGGAAAAAACACATCCTTAGGACACGTGGTAGGAGATACGATATCTTGTAGAATCTAAGCTGTTCCGTAGTGTTTACAGTGCTTCTGACATTAAACACAAGCTACCAAAATACTTAATAAAAAATTACTAAATACTAAAATTCATAAAGTTGCCCTACGTTTTTACTCAATCAAGAAACATAGAAAAGACGTTTACTAACGTATTATCTGAATAATCTATGTTAGTGCCAAATACAATTGCGCTTGAAGACTGTACTGCTTTCTCAGAATGTCTGAAATATGCCTTCCCTCTTACATCTAAACTGAAATATGATTTGTGCTTAAATGAATGATATATTGTCCATCTGTCCATCCTCCAACTGCTTATCCAGAGCAGGAATGCCGCTAGTATGAAATTTATTCAACGTAAATATTCGGTAACGGCCGGGTGTTTTTTATCTGAATGGCAGCTTCTCCAAATTAATATATCAAGCTTGATTTGGCCAGGAATGTTTTCACGAGTATGTTTTCTTAACTTGCCGGTATGTTCATGTGCATGATCGTTTTTAAGGCCAGAGTCAGGAATCATAACTCTTACCCTCCATAACAATGGCTGGTTTAAGCTAGAAGCCTATAGAAAATCAGAGGTTTGCTGTTGATTAAGGGACATTGTTTTGCATGTGAGAATGTACTATTACATTAAATAACTGCTGCGACTGTCTTTCAATAATGCATTGTATTTTGCAGTATACAATAATTACACCGTATGGAAGTTCCCATTTTGTATATTTAAAGTTTATATAAATATAAAGATAGTATGTTTCTGTATATGAATGAGCATTTGAACAGTAAAAACAGACTACTATTTAAATGGCATTTCTGAGATTTAATCTGTATTTCAATGCACAGTTGAACAATAAACAATGTCGGTATAAAAATTATCTTGTGAATATACTGCATGCACACCTTTTACAGTAGCGGGTTTAAGCTGGGAGCATTTATGAAAATTCATATGCACACAAATTTACTAGACCAAAAAAAAAAAAAAAACACCATAAAAAAATGTTTAAGTATCATGACGTACCCCACTGTGCATATCAAAGTCCCAGAGCAATGCTAATGTGCGGTAACAGTAATGTTACATTGTGCTACAGCATGCACATAGTACTGGTAAAGTCACAGTGGGCTAACAGTAACGCTAATGTGACAGCGTGCTCACGGTAACGCTAAAGTCGCAGCTCACGGTAGCGCTAATGCTAGGTTTTACATTCGCATTTAAAGATCTAAACCTACACCTGGAAAACTGCATGTTCAAATACAATGAATGACAGCATGTGAGGTCAGAACTTAAAATTAATTACATTAATCCCTCATATTAAAATCCACAAAAGTGTACAATATATTTATCTAGAATCACATGATAAAACCTTATAATAAACATATATTACGGTATGTTACGGTACCTTTTTATCAGATGAGGATTAAAAAAACAATATACATATACAATGAAACAGTGCACGTAAAAAAATCTATTTAAATTTTAACAGTTCGTAAATCTTTATTCTATTTACAGTAAAATTAATTGAAAAGTGTTTTCTTGCAATGATCATACCTAGCTAGTGTTTTCCTCGTTAGTTGCTGCATTTTAATTTATTGCATATTTATGATGGAAATTAAACTAAATAAAAGCATAGTTTAAATCTTGCCCATCATACACTCTATGTTGGTCTTCGTTCATAAAGCTGAGGTCACTATTTTCTGTGTGCGTCATAATCACAGATTGAGGGCTAAAAAAAAAAAAAAGTCATTGCATTGCATTTTTTGCTTACTTATTTTTCCTATAGCCAAACGCAAACTGGAAGCACCTCCAAAATCAGAAAGACTGTAGTGCTGCACAGCGCTTTGTAACCTCTGTGAAAGGCGCTTTATAAATAAATTTTACTTACTTAAAGATTTCTCTAGTTGACAGCATGCATTCATTAAATATATTCATATAATATACACCAAAAATACTTCTCAGTATTTTTGATGAGTGTCCTCCTCAAAATCCATTGTGCGCAAAGATAATTGAAACTTATCCGTCATTTCCAAAGAGGTAAGCAGGTACATATTACCTTACTGTGCTTTGGGTTCAAACCACTCAAAATCTTGAAATAAGATTACACTGGGAGAAGATTAATTACCCCATAGTTAAGAGATGACACAAATACACATATAAAAAGATTGATTCCCTTTAACTCACGATTTAAAACCTAAACATACTACCAGCAATTCACAATATTATTAATCTTGTAGAAAAATATACCAAAACCGTATCATAATGGCAGCTAATAATGTTTTGATTTGAAGGGAACAAAGTTCAGTCACACGATCAGAGCCCTTCGCAGGTCCACAAAGAAGTTGATGAGACCGCTGGCCATTGCAGAGTCCACGGCGGACTGGGGCAGCATGCCCCGCAGGTCTGTCTGGATGTAGCCTGTCAGCAGCCCGTGCGCTGGCGCCCCCTCTGTGGGCACACAGAACCAACCACAGGGGTGGTTAAAGCCCCTGACGAAGTTCTCCAGCCCGCCAGGGTACTCCACACTGACACCTGTCAGGAGGCATTTCGGAGCTGCTTAGGAAGCATTCTTTATGTACAGATATGCAAGAAGCATTTGGAATTTGCACTAAGAGCAGTGGCGGTGCTTACTGCCACTCCAACCATGTATTTACATGGGGCTCAGCTGGTTTGAGAGCCACAAACTGCAGTTAGGGGGAGGGGGGGTGGGGACAGTTAATTTTTGAGAGCAGCCTGAGAAACTATAAGCCAGCCTCTGATTAAGAGGCCAGCGATTCAGCCAGAGAAAAATAATTCTTAAATTAACAGAGTACAGTGGTACCTCAGTTCTCGAACTCATTAGAACTCGAATTTCTTAAAATTCGAACCAACCAGTTCGAAAAAAAATGACGTAGAACTCGATCTGAATCTCAGAAGTCGAACCGTGAACTCCGACCTAAGATAACTTGTACGCGTGGGGAAATGATACGCAATAGTTGTACAAATGTTACAACCTAAAAGCGATCGGGAAACACTGGGTTTATTTGAGAACAGGCAGAACAACACAATGATGTTGCAATGACCGGACTGGGGAAACAAACTGAAACGCGGACTAAATACAGAGGACTAATGACTAGGGATGTTGCAACGTTTTAACTTCCGATATGATACCGATATTGCAGCCTTCAGTACTAACCGATACCGATACAAATGCGATACAATACTCAGCACAAATCATGAATACTTTTACCCATTTTGTTGTGTGGAATGTATGAACGGCTAGATCAAACTGAGAACAAAAGTCAGCAACAGTAAGTATGGAAAAAAACAACCAATTTATTAACTATTGGTTGCATAAATGTGAACCTTTTACATAAGAATATGAAAAGAATTAAAGAATAAATATTAATAAAATATCAATTAAATAAACAAAAATATATTTTTTAAAGTGCAAAATACTAATTAAAGGTCACTTTGTCACACCCTGCTCCGTTCGATCCTAATGTGTGCCACGCCCACCTCGTTACCTCGTGTTAAGCCCTGATTGTGATCGCCTGTGTCCTATTAAGTCTAGCTTGTCTTTTGTATTTAGTCCTCGTCTGAGTCAGTCTTCCCCAGACTTGTCATTGTATTGTCCGTCGATGTCCGTGCCTGTCCGTCTTTCGTACAAATAAACCCCTTTACCGGACTTCCTGGCTTCGCTCGCCTGCTTCCCGGCTCGCCTATTGCCTGAACGTGACACACTTCAGTTATTTATTTTTTACCGTCAGCAAATGGTAGGAACAGCTGAGAGGATTGTCTCTTTAACTCAGTAGTCTTGCGAAAGTCCTCATGCACAGTTTTGTGATGCTGCTTCAAATGCGCGATGAGGTTGGACGTATTAAACTTTCCCGGTTCTGTTCCAACACGGGAAACTTGTGCATGACAAGTGTTGCACTGAGCCACACTGTCTTTTTCGGACTTTAATGAAAAATACTGCCACACGGCCGACATCGGTCTTTTTCTTTGCTACTTCGCTAGCAAGCAGTGTTGTGATCACGTGGGCTTTGCACGCTGGCTCTGGACGCTGCTGGATAGAATAGCTGTAACGGAGTTTAGAGCGGAACGGACTGCTTATATCAGAGATTTTTAACGCAGTCCGATATAATCCGATATAGTTTTTTTGAGCTGATATCGGACCTATTTCCGATATCAATATCGGATCGGGACA